TACAATAAGTGTCAGGGGCCCGAGACTGTTCAACTGCCTCCCAGCACACATAAGGGGGATTACCAACAGACCCCTGACAATCTTCAAGCTGGCACTGGACAAGCACCTCAAGTCGGTACCTGACCAGCCGGGCTGTGGCTCGTACGTTGGTTTGCGTGCAGGCAGCAGTAACAGCCTGGCTGATCAGGCTCTGATCCACCAGGAGGCCTGGTCACAGACCGGGCCGCTGGGGCGTTGACCCCCGGAACTCTCTCCAGGTAAACTCCAGGTAAACTTCTCTTCGATTCATGCCTGATGACCATTCATTATCCTATGCTGTATGACTTACGGGTTTAACTCTAATAATAATAATAATTTGATCCGAGTTATATGAAATGCTTTTTGTTCAAGTAGAGACGTACCTTATCTCTCCAGCTCTTGGAGATATCGTCAAACTGCTTCTGTGAAAAATCTTGGACGAAAGCCTCGCGGGTGGCAGTGAAGGCTCTCAGTTCGGTTTCGATAAACTTGATATACTCCTCGTGTAGGTCTTGCGTTTCAATGTCTTGAAAGCCAACCTTCCTGAGTGCCTCACCGTGTGACTTGATTGTCGGGAGGGTGTTACCTGCATTACAGACACCACCTTAATTAATGATTGATTGACAACTGTCAAGCAAGAATGTATATGATTATTTAGCATAGATACACATTATTAAATATTCGCAAGAAGGATGTTGAAAGTTACACTTGGAACATATCTTGATCAGGCCCGATGGTCTGTGAATTAACGCAAATGGGAACTGTACTGATATAAACATTTATTACTGTATAAATGTTTTAATACTTTAAAAATCTCTCTAGGTATTACTATTCATAATTCTGATCCTAACAGAAATAGTAAAATTAATTTACATAAGGTTCCAAAACTTACGAAAGAACAGAGCTTTTGATTTTTTTTTGTCTTTGCAAACCGTTTTTTTCCTTGTATAAACTCCCGTTTATAAATGTGGACCGGTAAGGCAGTGGAAGGCCTCAGTCAGATGACCAAATGCTCCAGTGGTGGGTCATCATATTACCTAACTTAACCTAAATGTGGATGTATAACGTAAGGCGTTCGTAAGTTGGAGAACCTGCATTGCCCATTTATTTAAGTTAAAAGCACGAAGTTATACTCACATTTAAATGTTTTGGCATAGTTAAGGAAGCTCTGTGAAGGCTGAGAGTTATTCATGCAGAAATCCGTAAAGAAGAGAGTCCCTCCTGGACGCAGCCATCTCTGGTAAATACACAAAACACAGTTTTGTCGTACATCTTAACTCCCTCAAAACTATTATTTAATGTAGAGGAAAATATTATGCCATATACAAAAACAATAATCTTGTCACATTAATTATATTCTCAAATGATATTTAACATTATTTAACATATCTCAGGAGAGAGGATCGAAAACCTGAATCCCTGAGGTAAACACACTACGTATACCTGGAGAAGTCGTAACTAAATTTTCAAAATTAATAACCATTTCTCAGCAACTTACATGTAGCTTCCTGAAGAGTTGTAATTTATTTTCTATATGAAGAATACAGTCCCTGCTGTATATTATATCATAGGAGTCGTTTTCATACTCCACGTCGAGGATATCACTAATCTCGAACTGAATCTGTCAACAGGAATACAAAACTAAATCTGTCAGTGGGAATCGAAAAATCTGTTTAATGTTTTTTGTACATATTAAGTTGTTTTCAGTCAAAATGACTACGTTTATACATCCGAGATTTAAATGTTGATGCAAGAAAGAAATTATCCTTAAACAAAGTTTAGGCATTAGTCTAGTTAGGTTTGGTCATAGAGAGTACTTAAAACTTCCTGCTACCACAATAACTATCTATTTTGGGTCATTATCAGTCTCTTGCGCCACTTAATAATAGTCTACGAATTGCAGAAACGTCATCCAATTTTTATTTCCAGTTTGTGGGTTAGTTCTCAGTTGTTCCAACCACTGTATTTTCAATTATTTTTCCCGCATTAGTAGTGACCACTTTCCCTATCCAGATTCACTTACCTTTTTCTTCACCTGTGGCTCGAGCTTCCCTTGCCTTTCAATGGCGATGTGAATCATGTTAGTGGAGAGGTCAACACCATGAACGTCAACGCCGTAGTGTCTAGCCATAAAGATGGCTGAGCCACCAGTCCCGCAGCCCACGTCCAATACCTTCTGCCCTGGCAGCAGCCCAAGACGAGTACAGAAGTCCTTCAGACCGTAAGAAACAAAAAAAAATAGACAGTTAATAAAGCCTGCAAGTCTTTCAGACCGTAAGAGTGTGAGGGAAAGTTAAGACAAGATTTAGTGCCCAGAGTTCCTTGAGTTTTTCGTTTAATATATTTATTATGCACCCCATACCCATGGTGTGGGCGGTAGTCAAAAGATTACATAGGTACATAATGGGTCCAGGGACTGGGCCCCAAAGTTTTGATAGCTGAACTATGTACAAAGGTAATGAACTCACAAGTTACAAAGGTAATGAATCATGTAAGTAAATTTACTTACGTTTATACATGGCTACAATCATGAACAAATTATAGAGTAATGAGCAATTCACATGTCCACACCCGGTCACAACTGTAATGAGCTATTAGTGCAAATAACAATTGTTGGGTTACACACACACACACCACAATTCCTTGAGACCATAAGAAACACTGACGAGACGAAAAATTAGTAAGACTTAAGATACGATAAGATTTCGTTCGGATTTTTAACCCCGGAAGGTTAGCCACCCACGATAACTCAAGAAAGTCAGTGCGTCATGGAGGGACTTTCTGTCTTATTTCCATTGTGGTCCTCAATCTTGTCCCCCAGGATGCGACCCACACCAGTCGACTAACACCCAGGTACCTACTTGCTAGGTGAAGAGGACAACAGGTGTAAGGAAACGCGTCGAAATGTTTCCACCCTGCCGGGAATCGAACCCGGGTTCTCAGCGTGTGAAGAGAGAGAGCTTTGGCAGCCAGGCCACAGGGTCTAACAATCCTCTGATGCCAAAAGAGTGAAATAGAAAGGTAAGATGAGAGAACCTAGTGCTACAACTTTTTGAGACCCCCCCCCCCAAAAAAAAAAAAAAAAAACAGAACTTGAGAGGGAAAGTTAAGGAAGTAGTACGCATTAAATATGTGATAATGAGTAGGAGGAAACAGGACCTAGTACATATTCCATATTCGTCCTCAAACTGACAGGCTTGCATACGAGTAAATAGGAATCACTGTTACTCCTCTTCATGTTTTTCTAAACATACCGTCATTCAAAGCACTGTAGTCTTATAAAAATATATTTTTATATCCATATAGCAGACGTCAGAGGGGTGCATATCTTCTCTTTATCTAAGTTAGGCTTTAAAGTGTATTTGAAGGTTAGAAACTAGGTAGGTTGTGACTTGAATGATCTCGCCAGTCAACAAATTTTAAACCTTTAAATACTAAGCTATGTTAAGCAGAGATGCTATGTACTTTTACAGTTATTGAACATAATTCCCAGATCCACATGCTGATAAAATAAAGCAGTGTAAATTAAGTGCTAAATTTATATGGTACAGAAGTACTTTGAAATAATTCAGACAACCCACACATTGGAGACAAAACGTTGAACGAAGTTTCACTCTGTCCAGAAACATTAAAAATGGTCCAGGACATACTGAAACATTTGAAGTTTCCTCCCCAAACTGCAACTTATTTGTGAATTTATATGCTAAGGACATTACGTACTCTGGTGGCATATTCGCCTCCGGTAGAGCAGTAGTTGTGTCCGTATACCCGTTCCATGGACCTGATATGTTCTATAGTGTATTGGGACTCGAGATATTGAGTCCGGTTGTCCAACTCGTTGTTTTCTACACGCTTGGTCAGGAAACACAGCTGGTTGGGATTGGCGTGATACTGCAAAATATACACAAAACTATCAATTAATTCCCCTCTTCACACACACAAAAAAAATGGCTTCATCAGTTAATTTCACTAAGGTTATTTTGGCAACGTGGGTTTAGCGCTTAGTTTTGATGATAATAATAATACTTTGGTAACAATTAATACACACAGTATTGGTGATTAAGACTAATCACCTCAGTACTACACTCCCATGTACCAACCTATAAAGCTACAGATCAACGGAGGATCTGATACACATTTCCACCTACGTACTTTAATATAAGCCAGAATGTTCTTGCTCCTGATGATTTTGTAGCCCAAGTTGTCGCTGGACACATCTTTCAGTAACTCGAAGTACTCCAGTGGAGTGCGGTACAGCGTCGGGTTCTCGTTGCGCTTCACGTTACCTGTTAATGAAAAGCTTGAAATATGAACGCTAGTCCAACTCACAAGCAATCATTCCCATTCGTCCATTCCGCCCTTTAAGTTATTCAAATTATTTGCTTCTATAATCCCGCGTCGTAATTTGTTCCACAAATCTGTAGCTTAGCTATCAAACCTTTGTAAATCTGATTTTGTCTACTTTGTGTCCATTATTGCTAGTTCTTTCCAGGAAACAATGACTGCTTAATATGCACGTAAATAAATCAGTCTATGATAAAAAAATAAAATGGTACAATCCCATGACTGGAACAATACACAAATTACCCCGTAAATATGTGCGAGTTATTTGTGTATAGTCTATATGTAGGTACATATATACATGTGTGACTATATATCTAACCTGACTGGTGGTAGCAGGACTCCCTGAGGAAGAAGTATCCGCCAGGGCTGAGCCAAGCGAGGATTTTCCTGAAGACTTGGACATTCTCAGTGTCACTCAGATACATGAAAAGCCAATTGCTGAAAACCAGATCAAACGACGCAGCAGGAAAGTCCAGTCTGTCGGAGACGCAGACGGTGATGAGGAGGTGTAGAATAATTTTTTACAACCAAGCTATCGTGTACTTTAGAAGGAACCAAATAGATCTAAGCAGTGCTGAATGACCCATACGGGCCTAGCATTGTTTTTTAATATATGTACCAATAAAAATAATGAATATGATTACTTGTCTTTATGCATTTTTGTAGTCTATTTTTACTTGTTTTGGATTTTTAATTATAAATTAGAAAAATGTTATTTTATAATAGTACATTGCAAGTATAAAGGTTATTTAAAGACTTTTATAGCACTATAATTATTTTATATCTAACCTTTATTTTATATCTAAATATTAAGAATACACGTGAATGTTTCTGCATGAACCTGTCACACAAATGCATATGTGTGTGCCTATTTCTGCTTATACAATACCTATACGTGAGCGTATACACACTTTGTGACATCAGCACACTTGAAGGTAACGTTGCCAAGGTGTTGGTTCTCCTTCTGGTTCTCGGTGATATAATCTTGCATAAAGTCCACCGCAGTCACGTGACTTGCCACTGATGCCAGCTTGGAAGTGAACCTCCTGTGAATAGACACTGTGTAAGGTTTCAAGCCTACCTTATTATTAAAATCATGGGGAAGCACTAAACCCCGTAGGGATTATACAGCGCCTTAGGGGTGAGGAAGGGAAGGTATTCACGAAACCGGAGCACTGATCCAATTCCCTAGATCAAGAACCCCTCACCAGCGTCAAGGAACCTCCCTTGAAGGGTTTCAAGCCTACAGACTGGAAGTGGGTCATTAAGACCACACTTTACCTGTACACCAAGAATAAATGCAGTTTGAAAAACTTTATTAATGATAATGTTTCGCCTGTACAACAGGATTTTTTAATTTATAAATATTGAAGAATTGATCACCTTAATATTACATCTCCACTTACACTGTCTCCGGTGTTATAATCGTCTAAATTCGCCTGAAGGGGTCTGCTGTGCAGACGAATTTTTTTCGTTAATAATGATACCTAAATGTTACAGATGTGTCTTACTCATCAAGCTTTTTCAAGACAGTAGGGATGAGTGAAGGTAAACAATATTGTTCTACTGTAAGTGGGTTGAAAAGGTTCAGTAGTGAAGGAAACCATTCTTTGCTGGAACATGGTGACATTTTTTAATCAGAGGATGAGTAGACAAGGATCTGGCTAAATAAAAACGTGTTCTGTTTTGCACAATTATGTTGAAAGTATGACAGCAGACTCCAAACCCTCTGACAAATTAATTTACCTCTCGGATACAAAATTAACCTTGTTCAATTACCCAAACTGAAAACTCTCTACTGTAGTGTAATTAACAGCTTGTGGAACATCTCGTTCACACAACTCGCCACAACCAAAGCCTACCTTCAGCTAACAAAGCATAACAAATATTCTAGTAACAGTATGACTTGTTATTCAACACATCCTAAAAACATATAAAAGAAGAAAAAAGAAACTAAAAGTCACAAAAAACATGGGAAACCTTTAAAAAACATTTAACCCACCCTATCCCAGCTCCCAGCTCAAGCACCTTCTTGCCGTGGTAGTTGGGGAGGTACGAGAGGATCTCGTTCTGCTCGTTCTGGTTCAGGTAGAGTGCGTCGTGGGACAGCATCATCGACTCCATGGAAGGACTATACGTCTGCCAGTAGCACTTCATCTTCTGTCTCACATACGAGGCTTCCTTATCCCTCTCATTCCTGAATGTCATGAACCGCGCTGGCCACACAACAAATATGTAGCTTGTATTAATAGCATGAATAGGTAAATTCAGGCTTAGTTACTGTGCTGCAGAAGGTCATAAAGTTTCCCTAACCAGAATACTGCATTGGTAATCCAATGAATTGTAACATTCGTCCATTACAAAATTTCAGAACATTACTATGAAAAAGTCAGGAATAATTTGAAAGGCGGCACAAATAGGTACACGGGAAAGGCAGGCAGCACACCATCTTGAGGTCTACATAGACTGAGAAAGACTAGTTAGTCTAGATGTTTCTACGTCTATTATACAAGCTAACAGTAATAGTTTCAGTTTTCATTAAATCTGCCTAAACAAAACTGGTCCGAGTTAACTTTTGCCTCGTAGCTTGATTGGGTGTCTAGTGGTTCGGTTAGCAACACTCGCCTCGCAGTGTATACCTGAAAAGGGTTTCGGGGGGTCAACGCCCCCGCGATTCGGTCTGAGACCAGGCCTCGTGGAGGATCAGGGTCTGATCAACCAGGCTGTTACTGCTGTCCGCACGCAAACTGACGTACGAACCACAGCCCGGCTGGTCAGGTACTGACTTGAGGTGCCTGTCCAGTGCCTTCTTGAAGACAGCCAGGGGTCTATTGGTAATCCCCCTTATGTATGCTGAGAGTCAGTTGAACAGTTTTGGGCCCCGGACACTCATTGTGTTGTCTCTCAGTATACCCGTGGCACCCCTGCTTTTCATTGGGGGAATGTTGCATCTCCTGTCGAGTCTTTTGCCTTCATAGGAAGTGATTTTCATGTGCAAGTTTGGTAGTAATCTCTCTAGGATTTTCGAAGTGAATATTATCATGTATCTCTCCCGCCTGCGTTCCAGGGAATACAAATCAAGAGACTAACCATTCCCAACAATTTAGGTGCCTTATCGTACTTATGTGTGTCGTGAAAGTTCTTTGTACACGCTCCAGGTCAGCAATTTCATGAGCAATGGAAATTTCTCTTCATTGGGTGATGTCTGCTTGGAGTCTTGCGGTGTCTTCGTTGGAGGACACTGTCACGGCAATTCGGGTGTCATCCTCAAAGGAAGACACGGAGCTGTGGCTTACATCTCTGTCTATGTCAGATACGAGGATGAAGAATAGAATGGGAGCGAGTACTGTGCCTTGTGGAACAGAGCTTTTCACCGTAGCTGCCTAAAAACTTTACTCTTTGTGTTCTATTATATATAGCAATGTGAACAGACTGACTGATGTTGTAGTGGCCAGGCTTAGGCTTGGTTACAAGTACTTCTGGCAGTTTGGGAGACACACAGATGATGATCAAACTAAATGTAAATTATGTGATCAGGCATATGGTCACTCTCTTGAACACTATGTGCTTAATTGTCCACTTATTGAGGAATACAGAGACAGACAGTATAATAACCTATGTGACATGTCAAGATATCTTATTAATGAAATAAGATACCAGATATACTAAGCAAATTTCCTAAATTTGCTTGTAACAGATAAGTGAACTATAGATATGTAGATATAAATCCATATGTATTCCTGTTAACCCTTTGGGGCCTAGTTCCTAGGCCTTTTGTGTATCCATATGCTCTCGCGCTACCGTCCACAGGATGGATATGGGGTGCACAATAAACTAGCCACTTCGGTGGAAAAATCTAAATCTTTGTGTTCTATTTGTCGGAAGTTAAGATTATCTACCAACTTTTCCTGTTTTTCCCTTTTATCATCCCCCTAAAGGAAAGGTTTCCCTTGATTTTGGTGAGGGTTTGATCTGGGGAATTGGATCGTGCCCCTTTCCCCGAATTAAACCGAATGCTCCAATCCCCCCCGGAGCTGTAAATCCCCCGGGTTTTTCGTTCCCTTGATTATAATAAAAAATAATAAAAATCTTTTCAGCTTTTTGGTTTTACCCCTGGTCCACTTGTCAAAAGCTTTTGAAAAGTCGGGGATATATTTGATTTTTTTTACCCTCTCCCAAGCATCCAGGCCTTGTATTGTCCAGTAGTGGGAAGGAAGAAAGACCTGCCCAAAACCCGGGGTTTGTGAAATGATAGGTTATAGAGGGTTGACGTCTTGTTCTTAAAAACCTTTCAAAATATGGGATGTTGTGCATCGGTCTTAGTTTTTTGCAATTTTTTTAAAACCCCCTTTGTGGGCGGGGGTATTCTGTTGTTTTTAGTGAGTGTGGAATGACCTGGCCCACGTTTCCCCCCCATAGAATGTGAAGGCACGTGCCGGGTCTTTTTGTAGTTCTTTTGAAACGGGTTCCCCGAGTCCGTGGTTTAATCTCCGGCACGGGTTTGGGAAAATTGGGATGTTTTCCCTTTCACCAGCTGTCCCTTTTTACCTTTTCAGTACTAGTTTCCGGGTGTTGTCGCTGGTGTGGGGCGCCCCCGGGGGGGCAAGATGAAAGGGCCCCAGTGGAAATAAGAAACCCCGAAAACGCATGACTTTCTTGGGCTATCCCGGGTGACTAAATTTTTTTACCCCCTTCGGTTTAAAAAATAACAAATTTTATTTAATTTTTTGTTGTTGTAGTTGCTCCCGTCGTTCGGCGCTTCGTTATACTGTTGCTACCCTTAACGCAAACTACTGCTACCGCCCCTTTATTCTGTTGCTTCCCTGTTCTACTGTACTGCTGCCGGCTTTTACTTTTTATTTCCCCTGCTATGTTGTCCCGTTTACGATAGCCCCTGTGGTTCCCAATGCAGCTTTTCAGCGTTTTATTATTAGTTTGTTTAATATCTTTATTTTGCACCCCCTACCCCCCCTGTGGACGGGGTCAAAAAGGTTACAGGGTACATAATGGGTCCAGGGAGGGCACCCAAGTTTTGATAACTGAACAGGTACAAAGGTAATGAACTCCGGTAGATTGGTCACAATCATGAACAAGTTACAAAGGTAATGAATCCTTTAAGTCATCATGGTCACAATCATGAACAAATTATAAAGTAATGAGCAATTCGCACGTCCACACCCGGTCACAACTGTAATAAGTTATTAGTGCAAATATTAATTGGGTCACACACACACGAGCGCGCGCGCACACACACACGCACAAACACACACACACACACACACACACACACACACACACACACACACACACACACACACACACACACACACACACACGCACACACACACACACACACACACACACACACGCACACACACGCACACACACACACACACACACACGATGTTCCAAAGAGGGGACACAGAAACAAGGGGTCGCAATTGGAAGTTGAAGACCCAGATGAGTCAAAGGGATGTTAGGATGTATTTCTTCAGTCACAGAGTAGTCAGGAAGTGGAATAGCCTAGCAAGTGAGGTACTGGAGGCAGGAACCATACATAGCTTTAAGATGAGGTATGATAAAGCTCATGGAGCAGGGAGAGAGAGGACCTAGTAGCACTCGGTGAAGAGGCGGGGCCAGGAGCCGAGTCTCGACCCCTGCAACCACAATTAGATGAGTACAATTAGGTGAGTACAAGCACACTCACACATAGGCACACAAGTATACACACACACACACAACACACACACACACACACACACACACACACGAGTGTACATACACACACGAGCACATACACATATGCAGCATATGGGCGCCTAGCAAACCTCAGAACAGCATTCCAACATATTAAAAAGGAATTGTTCAGAACCCTGTACACAGTGTACGTTAGGTCCATATTGGAGTATGCGGCACCAGTTTGGAACCCACACCTAGCCAAGCACGTAAAGAAACTAGAGAAAGTGCAAAGGTTTGCCACAAGACTAGTTCCAGAGTTAAGAGGTATGTCCTATAAGGAGAGGTTAAGGGAAATCAACCTGACGACACTGGAGGACAGGAGAGATAGGGGGGACATGATAACGACATACAAAATACTGAGAGGAATTGACAAGGTGGACAAAGACAGGATGTCCCAGAGATTGGACACAGCAACAAGGGGACACAGTTGTAAGTTGAAGACACAGGTGAATCACAGGGATGTTAGGAAGTATTTCTTCAGCCACAGAGTAGTCTGGAAGTGGAATAGTTTGGGAAGCGATGTAATGGAGGCAGGATCCATACATAGCTTTAAGCAGAGGTATGATAAAGCTCATGGTTCAGGGAGAGTGACCTAGTAGCGACCAGTGAAGAGGCGGGGGGCAGGAGCTTGGACTCGACCCCTGCAACCTCAACTAGGTGAGTACACACACACACACACACACACACACACACACACACACACATGCACAGACATGCACAGATAAGAAGGGAGGCCCAACGACAATATGAAAACGACATAGCAGCGAAAGCCAAATCAAATTCAAAGTTTATTCTCTATAAAGATTACAATGTTGAATTTACAGAATTTGGTTGTTGTGTGGTTTACATGTAGTTAAATAATGATTAGAGAGTGTACCACTAGAACGCCTAGCATGGCTAGGCATTTCGGGCAGACTTAGTTTAATTCTTTATTTTAAAATATTACAAATTATGAGGTAAGTTGGTATTATGGCTAAGTGACTAAATAATAGTTTGTGAGTTTAGCAATGTGAATGCTTTTGTTTTGGCACAGTACATAGTTTCAGTATTGGAGTATCATAGGATTCATTATTTTAAGATTGAGATTAATATTTCTGTTTATGGTCAAATGGGTGAGTAAGTGTGAACCACCAGGTGGTATTCGTGTAGTTAGTTGATGGGGTGTATCAGGGAGATAAGATGTTTTCTAATGGTAGTTTTGAAGGTGATGAATGTGTCTGCAGTTCTAGAGTTCTGAGGTAGGGTGTTCCAGATTTTAGGGCCTTTGACATACATTGAATTTTTGTAAAGGTTTAGTCGGACACGGGGAATGTCGTAGAGATGTTTGTGTCTGGTGTTATGCCTGTGGGTTCTGTCACAACTATCAAGAAAGCATTTTAGGTCAAGGTTGATATTGGAGTTTAAGGTCCTGTAGATGTAGATTGCACAGTAGTAAGTGTGGATGTACTGAACAGGGAGTAAGTTTAGATCTATGAAG